CGCTTGGTTTGGGATTTTCTGTTCCCCTCTTGGAGATGGGTGCACAGAGCCTCCTAACGCCTGGGAGAAGCCCCGCAGTAAGGAACCCCCCTCAGATCTCTTTGCCCCTGTGGTTCCCACCTTACCTGCCGCAGTGCTGTGTCTCCATCGCTGCCTGGGAAGACTTGGGAGAACAGAGCTCCAAGGAACGAAGCCTCTTGGGGTCACGCTGCCTGATCGAATCAAACCGGAGCTCCCTGGAGTCGACGCCAGCTCATGGCAACCCCAGGGGGTCAGAGCAGAACCATACTCCATGAGGGTTTCTTGGTTTGGTTTTGTTTTTGCTTTTTTTTACTTATAAATTATATTTAGTAGTGAGACCAAGATAAGGACAGCGGTTGGGCTTTGATGATAAAGTGCAGCATCTTTCTCTGATTCTCTTGGCTAAACTTTTCCTCTTGTTTTTTTTTTTCCATCCTCTCCTTTGCCGTCTTCCATCTTTCTGGCTTGAATTCTCCTCATTAAACAATGGCTGGCTTTTTTGGAAGCTGCTCATCAGACCTTTCAAACCTCCAAACTGTCAATTAGCAGCTGAGCCGACTTAACCCTTGGTACTTCCCAGACCTTCTCAAGCCTCTAGCACAGCATCCAGGGCTCTTCCAGCCCAGAGAAGCTTTCACTCCCCGCCCATCTCAACCCCGAAATGCCCAGGGGCCGTTCCACATCTCAGGGCTGCTACTCCGTAAAACGCCTTTCATTCCACTTCAGAACTGACAACCCTAACTGAACCCTACTCAAACTCCACTCCCCGTTCTTCAAGCTTTTTCTCTCTACTGTATGGGTCCCCAGTTGCTTGGGCTGGGGACTGTCCACTCCCCGGAAGGTCAGTTCCCCTGGAAGGACTGACTGGGCTTCTCTGCTCTTGCTGCGCGTGCTCCATGGGCAGGACTAGGTGAGTGTGGGTTGGGCAAGGTCTGAGATCGGTGCCGGGGCTGAAGGCGGTACTGCCCCAAAGGGTGCTTCTCAGCCTGTTCCCCACCCTCAGCACCACTGGCTTCCTCGCCCCACCCTCCCTGCTGTGTGCAGTAGAAGACAACGAGCAGCGTCCTTGGCCTCTCTGACCCTTAGAGCAGTGGTTCTCAACCTTCCTCATGCCGCAGCCCTTTCATAGAGTTCCTCATGTGGTGGTGACCCCCCCCAAACCACAAAATTATTTTCGTTGTTACTTCATCACTGTCATTCTCCTACTGTGATGAATCGGGCGACCCCTGTGAAAGGGTCGTCCGACACCCCCTCCCCCAAAGGGATCCTGACCCACAGGTTGAGAAGTGCTGCCTTAGATGCTAGTCATACTTGCCTTCCAGCGGTCCCAAAGGTCCCTGGTTATTGCCAGATGAAAATCGCCGGGGGAAGCACTGCTTATGTAAGTCATCTTTTTGTCCCAGGGCAGGGGGCCCCTCTCCCAGAGCATAATCTGTTCCGACTCATCTCGACCCTTTAGAATAGAGTAGACCTGCCCCTGTCAGTTCTGAGGCTGTAACTCTTTCCAGGAGCAGACAGCTTCATCTGTCTCCCACAGAGCACCTGGTAGATTCAAACCGGTGGCCTTGCGGTTATTAACCCAACTCATAATCGACCACACCTGCAGGGCTCCTTTTTCTCCGCTGGGGTAACGCATTTCTCCTCCTGTCCTTAAAACTTTCTCAGGGGAAAGAACTGTCCTTCCACACCTGAGCAGCATTGTGAGGAGGGGAAGCACCAGGAAG